GGGGGCATTAGTCTTTAAAAAAGGGGGGAAATTGTTTTACCTCACCAAAGTTGCTGAATCGTCTTTCCTTAAACCCTATTACGTTAGCTATTGTAATACAGTTTGCTCTAGCTTTTTTTCTTTCTTTTTTATGTTGTTTTTTTTAAATTTGGTTTTGGTTTTTGGTTTTTATAATAGGCACTGTCAAATGAACACAAAGCTCAAGGCTTTACAAGGCTAGGGCAGTAACAAAACGGCCGCTTTCTCGAATCTTCTATGCATTCCGCTTGACCTCGATACATATTTAGTCTTGAGATGTCTCCAATGACAGTGACTTTTTTCTTCTTCGACAATGTCACGGTCGCTTCGTACAGCGCTCCGCCAGGTTTTGTCTTTACGGAAAGTTGAAATACTTGAACGTCTTCTTCCTTCTCCTTCTTCACCTTTCCCTCCTCCTCCTTCTCCTTCGTCTCATTCGTCTTCCCAAGAGAATTCTCATTGACAACCAGCACGGATATCACGCTCTCCAAAGACAACTTCGCGCACAACTTCCTCTCTTCTCCCGTTTTCGAAATCACATGATTCACAACCTCATAAGCCAATTGGTGCACAACAGTAGGGCTGACGTCCGCTTTGGCCAGCTTGTTGCACACGCAGTACTCAGCGGGAATTCCCGCCTGCTCGCACGTTCTGCCTTTGGGTATTTCCCCGAAAAGGCTGATGCCGCGACGGCTGCTATTTCTGGAACGGGTTTCCCCGGTGAAGTGGACCACGTCTTTCAGCGTGGCGTGAACGTCGAAGTGGGAGGTAAGTCGGTCTTGGTTGGTCTTCAGAGCGCGCGTTAGACCCGGGTACTTTTGGTAGAACCAAGGCGGGAATACAAGAAACATGTAGGGCGTTCTGCCTTCGATAATCCCGTTGTAGGTGGCTCTGAGGGGGAAAAGACAATATAATAATATTATGGCAAGGCTGAAGACTCTGAATAGATACAGCTTCAAGAGTGCAAAAGCGGAGTCTGGAGAGAAACACAAAGACTGTGGATTTTGCAAGTCAAATAAAAAACAAAAAAAGCACATGAGTTTAATGCCCGCAAGGGGAGAATTTTTTTTATCAAGAAGCTCGGTCTTTCTAGTAGGACATTCTATCTCTCTGAGTCAGGATTGACCCTGACAGGAAAGGTCAAAGCCCGCCTCCCAAATGATCTAAATTGTGCCAATTGGAATATTTTTTCTGTCTAGCACTCCAACAAGCAAAGGTCTTTAAAATTTTTACAAACGACGCTTAGTCTAAACGGGTTATTATCAATGTTTAAATCTGAGCTGTTTTTCGCCATTTGAATCGTTAATGAAATATTTCATCTTTTCTGGACTCCTCACAGCCAGTCATGTAATTAATGATTATGAGTCGTTGGCGTGTTCTCTGGGGTGGTTTGCTCCTTCTTTGCTAGCGATCAAACACCTATCGTCATAATTTCTCCTCCTTCTCTTCTTTTAGCTTTTGTGTGTAACACTCTTGTAACCTTTCTAATCTTTGGCACGTATAAGACATTTCATTGTGCAAGTGCCGTAAAACTCTTACTAACGTTAAAAAGTTAATCAATTATTTTGATAAACTGCTCCCATTATGCTTTTAAAAATAAAAAAATTATATATATATA